AAATTTTACAGGCTCTCTGGAAGTCTTATCACTAGGTGTTCATACAAAAAGAAAAAGCTGCTGTACTATTAGGTAATACTTTCTGAAGAGAAGCAAGAGAACTGCAAACCACGTTTGCATAGGTTCATGTATCAAAGAACAAGAAAACATACACAATCCATAAAATAATATTAGATCTTTTGGTTTACTCTTGCCTTGGAGAAGATAATCCTCTTAGATGCGAACTTTTTTGCACTATTTCCACAAATGTATGCTTATAGTGCAGTGGTTACACTCAAATTTTCACAACAACATCCATAAATCAGAATACCACAATTACTACATATTTACCATACACTAACAAACACTCACAGATACTCTTAGTGTCAGTTCAAAAAGATGCTTTCTTTCAGGAAAAAGTACATAAGGCTTTTCTGGTAACAAGTTCTTGTCGAGGATTTTCTTTATTCCTGTAACGCATCTTTTTGCTTGTTTTACTTTTTGTCTTGGTCTTTTTCTGCATCCAGAAGGGCCGAACGGATTCCTAACTTCTTCAGCTCTTCTACTAGATCTCCATTCTGATGCATCTGAAGGAGTATGTCACAACCACCGACAAATTCACCATTGAGGTACACTTGTGGGATGGTAGGCCAGTTAGAGTAGTCTTTTATTCCTGCATAAAAGAAAAATATATATATATAAAATGATTTTCCTCCACCCTCACACCAAGTAGATTCAAACTATAAACAGAATTCATTGCTTCAGCCTGACAGAGCTACTGACAGAGAAATTTTAGCTTTAATGAGAAAAAAGTATTATAGAAGCTGTGTGAGGAAAACTGCTTTATACTTATTTTTGGTTCTCAGAATTAGTAGTTGTGTGTTCAAAGACACAAAGTCAGCTCCTATCCAGGGGAGTTGGAAAGTGAGCAAATATATTTTCATGTGATTAAAGAAATGTAAATGTTTCTCAATGATTGTAAGTCCCCAATTTTTAAAATACTTTATATTTGTTCTTAATTCATACAGCAACAATTGCTACAGCAAGCTCAGCTGCGAGATACATCCACCCCTTTAAAAGCCCTGTAAACTTCAAATTACTTTATCTTTCACTGCCAGACTTGACAGCCCAAGGGAGGGGCCCAAATGTCAAATTCTCTTAAAAGCTCTCACCCTTTAAAGCAGAACTAGAACTGAAGTTCTGTGTTAAACGCAGAACTGAAGTTAAAAACTATACCACATAGAATGCAAATAACTACATAGAGGACAAATATAAGACCATCCAAAAATATTAACTGATCGGTTAGTATAAACTGAGTCCCAATTTGCGCTTAAAAGAAATATGGAAAGAAAAGAAAGAACAAACCTACCACCCCTACCAACAAAACCAGAAGGATCAGCGTACCTAATTTGTTACTTTTAAAATAACCATCCATGCTAAAAGTCATTATTTTTCTACCACGGAAAAGGCAGTTAAAACTCCATATCTACACACCCTTATACCTAGTCCATCAACAAAATTAGATAACTAATTTAAACCCACTGTCTTATGTTTCCAGTGTGCAATTCTGCCTAAGGCATGAAGGGCCATACAGAGAACTCAAGGCTGCAGACAAGGCAGGTGCCCTTCCAGATCATCAGGAACAGCCCAGGGGCTGCCAGGAGCCCATGGGTCCCACACCCTTCAGCAGAGGCTGCCAAAATATTAACCACAGAAATGGGCCTGGGCAGCAAACAACACAGGGAAAATAAAGTGCTTTAAAAAAAAAAAAAAGAAAAAAGAAAGAAAAAAGAAAAAAGAAAGAAAAAAAAAAGTATTTAATTCTTGTAAAGGACAAAACTCTCAAAACTCTGCAGGTATTAGTTACTATGAATAAGGAATTGCACCAACCACTACAGAAAGGGCTGCTTATGAGAAGCACCTCATCATTGTTAAGAGGTAATAAAGCATCAAGCTGAGACATCTTAACCCAGTATCTCTACTTACAAAAGCATGGCCTATCCAAAGCAGCTCCTATTTAAGCTCTAAAGTCTGCAAGAAAAGAACTATCTAATATAAAAATATAAACATATTGGCAAGCATTCATATTTTATTGGAACTTAAAACACTTGCTTTTTAATATTTATATAAGAATGTAGAAATATGTAAAAAGATTAAGGTATTACTAGATAAAACAGCTAATACTTCCCATTAGCTAAGCAGCAGGTTGAAAGCATCTACTAGTAGTAGCATCTAATAGTAGTAATCTGGGAGAGTTCTCCCTATGACTAAGCGTTGTTTACTATGAAGTACAGGGCCAGCTAGGAGATTTTTACAACTTTGTGCACCAGCTGCTAATGCTTCACAAGTCCAAAGTAACAACTTCACACATGAAACAGGAGCAGAAGGAACCGTGCAACCAGATAACCTCATCTCCAACATAATAGTCTGTTGTTTTTTCCTTTCTGTCCCACTGAAATCTTTCTCCCTTGCTTAAGATGTAGATGTACTCAAAACTACCCTAAAAATGCCTTAGCCCATAAGAGGTGCAGCAAAGGAATTTGGAGTCCTAGCACCGAGGCATGCTCAAGGACAACCCTTCTAAAAGCGGCCTCTATACATAAAAATAAAGCTTTTTTTTTTCCATTAAGACACAGTAAAACTAAACACACATTGTGAACCAAAGGCACTGCATAACAAACCTACTGTTATTACTGTGAAATGTTAATAAGCATTTGAGGATATTTACTCCCCTTATACTTTTACAGAAATACTCTCCTCAAGGGCACATACACACAAACACTGATAGGACTTTCAAGGATCTGTTCAGCTCCAGCCAGAAACACGAGCAGAGTGAAGCTCAAAGGAGCAGCACTCAGTATTTCCCGTGCCAGACCGACCGCTTTGGTGCTGCACACGTAGGCTGGAGCGGACTGCAAACTGTGCGGCTCGTGAAGCCACCACGAGACACCTCCTCGTGCAAGCGAGCGGCTGTGTTGAGCACTGGGTGTTCAAGCCGGCGGGTTCCAGCTGGGTGACGGCAAGGGGGCCTGGTCCGCGCTGGCTGGGGTCAGGATGCGCCTCAGCGACGGCTCCTCGGCAGCGCAGACGCTCCCACAGCCCCTTTCCCTGCGGCTGACGCTTCCCAGCAGCGCTGTGGCAGCTGCAGAGCGCTCAGTCACACACCTAAGGCCACGAAAAAGCCACAGGCTGCTTCTTTTTTCAAATACTGCTTGTTGGTTCACACTTATCAACTGCAGAGCATTGCGGGAACAAGATTAGAGAATCAACCTTTGGGCTAATAACTAATGGAAAACTACATTAGCTGTGACCAAAACCACCTGAGAAGGAAGCCACTTCATGCCTGCCAGCACTACATTTCTGTAAGATGGGGATTTAACACACGCTTTAGTATATTCTGAGATAGAAAGATTAGTGCTAGGGACCCGCAAGAGGAATCACTATCTTATTTGTTTGTTTAGAACATTCTCAAACAGCCACAAGAAATATCAACGCTTGGTCAGCTACATCTATCCCAGAGGGGAGGAAAAGCAGCTCGAGGGCATGAGGTGCAGAGAGTACTTACATTCTACAAGCCGGCAAAATACCTTATATGTGTGTATATACATATATATATATATGTAAACACACACACACGCACACAAGAGCTGCGTACAGGAGCTCCTACAACCCGAGCAGGAGAAGAGAGAAGACACGCAAGTGCTGACCAGGAACTGGGTATTTCAGGGCCCCTGTGGCGCAGCTCTGCGCCTGCGGCCCGCGAGGGGCAGCAGGGCCGGGGCAGCCCGGCCCCGCCGGCACCAACCGCCGCGAACCGCCGCGAGCCGGGCCCCGCCGGGCCCCCCCGGCCGTCCCCGCCGCTGACCTTGGCGGAGCGCGGCGTCCTGCAGCACGTCGTGCGCGCGGTAGTCGCGCACGCCGTGCAGCCGCAGGATCTGCACCACGGCGTTGCTGAAGCCGCACTGCGGCTGCGCGGGGCTGCCCTTCATGAACACCACTACGGGGTGCGCCCGCACCAGCCGCTCCACCGCCTCCCGCGAGCCCGACGAGCCGCCGCCATCGCCGCCGCCGCCGCCGCCGCTCCCCTCGGCGCC